CGAGACGGCTCAATAGCGCCCCAAGTCTCCCAAGATCGCTTCACGATAAGCGAGGAGGCCCCCAAGACGGCCCCAAGAGGGCCAAACGGGCCAATATCATTATTCCTTATGCAATTTCAAATGACTTCCTCGTTCTCAGTTCTTCTGGCGTCCGACCGCCCCGAATGGCTCAGGATGCCTCCAAGATCACCTCAGGATGGCCCAGGGGGGCCCCAAGATGGCCTAATCATGAGGCCTCCCAAGATGGACCAAGAGATCCCAACAGGACCTCAAGAGGGGCCCAGCAGGAGGACAGCGAGGTGTCCTCGGGAACCTTTGCCCAAAGGATTGCCCCCCCAACCCTCAGCATGCCCCACCCATGCTCCCAACATGCCCCCAACAAGCCCCCAACATACCCCCAACAGGCTCGCAAGAGGCTTCTAACAGCCCCTCCCCTCCCCCCAAGATGCCCAAGAGGGCCAAGGTCCGTAGCCATTTTGGCTCAAGTTCGGGTTCCAGAGGCTCGAGCGCTTCTTGTGGCCTGGATCGGCCAGCCGGCCCACACCGCCGCTCGCCTGCCAGGCCAGCCGCTGCGCTCCGAGAGGCCCGCATGACCTGCCGCCGCCGCGACCGCCGCGCCGCGGCCGCGGCAGCGGTGGGCGCAGCCCTGGCGGCCGCGTGGCGCGGGCACCTGGCCCCAGCGGCCTTCGCCGGGCCGGCCGCGGCGCCCGCCCCTGTGCGCGGGGCGCCGCTGTGGGCTACGGCCGCCAGTCCTGACCGCGAAGCGCCAGCTCCTGCAGCTAGACACTCTGGCAGCGCGGAGCGCCAGGGCGGCGTCAAGTACATATCATGGGACAAAAGCAGGACGGCGTGGCGCATTCAGTATAAGATGCAGAACGGCCCGGATCAGGGTCGCAGAAAGCAGCCCACCTTCCGCCCGAAGGACGAGTCGCCGGAGGAGGTGGAGCAGGCGCGGCTCGCCGCCGTCGAGGCGCTGCGGCGGCTGGAGGAGGAGGACCGGCTCGGGCAGGCCCGTGCTGGCAGCAAGCGCCAGAGCGGGGAGCGCCAGAGCGGCGTCAAGCACATATTTTGGAACAGAATGCGCCAGGCCTGGCGGGTTCAATACATGATAAATAGCGGCCCAGACAAACGTCGCACAACGGGGCGCGATTTCCGCCCGAAGGACGAGTCGGCGGAGGAGGTCGAGGAGGCGCGGCTCGCCGCCGTCGAGGCGCTGCGGCGACTGGAGGAGGAGGACCTGCTCGGGCAGGCACGCGTTGGCAGCTACGACCCCGCGAAGCGCCAGAGCGGCGTCAAGCATGTAAACTGGGACAAAGGCCAACAGACGTGGCGTGTGATACACGTGATGAAGAACGGCCCAGACAAAGGCACCAGGAAGAAGCCCACCTTCCGCCCGAAGGACGAGTCGCCAGAGGAGGTGGAGCAGGCGCGGCTCGCCGCCGTCGAGGCGCTGCGGCGGCTGGAGGAGGAGGACCGGCTCGGGCAGGCCCGCGCTGCTAGCTACAGCCCCGCGGAGCGCCAGAGCGGGGTCAAGCACATAAATTGGGACAACCGCAAGACGGCGTGGGTCATTAGATATAAGATACAGAATGGCCCGGATCAAGGTCGCAGAAAGCAGCCCACCTTCCGCCCGAAGGACGAGTCGCCGAAGGAGGTGGAGCGGGCGCGGCTCGCCGCCGTCGAGGCGCTGCGGCGGCTGGAGGAGGAGGACCGGCTCGGGCAGGCCCGCGCTGGCAGCTACGACCCCGCGAAAAGCCAGAGCGTTCAGCACGTGAGATACAAGACGACGAACGGCGCAGACAAAGGCACCAGGAAGCAGCCCTCCGCCCGCCCGCAGGCCGAGTCTCCGCAGGCGGTGGAGCGGGCGCCGCTCGCCGCCGCCGAGGCGGTGCGGGGGCTCCGGGAGGAGGACCGCGCCCTCGAGCCGAGCGGCTCGGGCGGGCCCTGTGCCGGCCGCGGCCGCAGGGAGGTGCCGCTTCTCGACGGGCTGTTCCTTGTCGTCGGAGAGGCTGTTTGACGTGGTGGGCGAGGTCCTGAAGGTCACGTGTCGGTCGTCTGCGGTCGGGCAATTCCTCTTGGCGGAGGTCTTACAGCTGCGAGCCGACTGGGCCCGCAGCCCGCAGCAACTGCACGTGCCGTTCGGAAGCTCGCAGCAGTTGCCAGCCCAGGTGCCCCGTCTGCGCGGGAAAGTTTCATTCACCACCACTCGAGACACTTCGGCAGTCTCTCCAACGAAATTTGAAGGCAAGTTCGACTCAACGGTGGAAGATCGCGTGGTGTCCGCGGGCACATTTCGCGAATTTCTTGTGTACGATTCTGACCACATGTGTCCCGAACAATCGTCGTCTACTCGCGCGCGTACAAAGGGACCGACGAGGTTAGTCTGAGAGCGCTGGTGTCGCAGCCGTACTTCATGCACCCGCCTGTGTACTGGCAGAATGCCCAAAAGAACCCAGACAAGGATCCCTTCGAAGAGCAGGTCGAGCTGGGCCGAGGCGCCCTGGGGATTCCGCAGAGGCTCGTGGGCGCGACGAGCTCGAAAGTGGACGTGACGCTCCCCGGTTCTGCGCGCCGGGCGGCTGGATCTGTCCACGGATCGCTGGCAAGAGCTGTATGTCGCTTGCACCCTGATGCATGTCGCTTGCAACACATGTGGTTCGCGTGCGCCCTGATGCATACCGCTTGCAAAACAAATATCCCAGTGCGACCCTACCTAGGAGTTGGAGCCCCTAGGAAAGCAGCATTAGTAGTAACAGAAAAGCTAAGCTAAAGCTAAGATGAAGCTAAGCTAAAGCTAAGTTAAATCTAAGATGAAGCTAAGCTAAAGCTAAGTTAAAGCTAAGCTGAAGCTAAGCTAAAGCTAAGCTAAAGCTAAGCTAAAACTAAGCTAAAGCTAAGCTAAATCTAAGCTAAAACTAAGCTAACGCTAAGCTAGAGCTAAGCTAAAGCTAAGCTAGAGCTAAGCTGAAGCTAAGCTAAAGCTAAGCTGAAGCTAAGCTGAAGCTAAGCTAAAGCTAAGCTGAAGCTAAGCTAGAGCTAAGCTAAAGCTAAGCTGAAGCTAAGCTGACGCTAAGCTAGAGCTAAGCTAAAGCTAAGCTAAAGCTAAGCTAACTCTAAGCTAAAGCTGAGTTAATTCTAAACTCAAGCTAAGCTAAAGCTAAGCTAAAGCTAAGCTAAAGCTAAGCTGAAGCTAAGCTAAATCTAAGCTAAAGCTAAGCTAGAGCTAAGCTAAAGCTAAGCTAGAGCTAAGCTGAAGCTAAGCTAACGCTAAGCTAAAGCTAAGCTAAAGCTAAGCTAAAGCTAAGCTGAAGCTGAAGCTAGAGCTAAGCTAGAGCTAAGCTGAAGCTAAGCTGAAACTAAGCTGAAGCTAAGGTAGAGCTAAGCTAGAGCTAAGCTGAAGCTAAGCTGAAGCTAAGCTAAAGCTAAGCTGAAGCTAAGCTAAAGCTAAGCTTAAGCTAAGCTAAAGCTAAGCTAAAACTAAGCTAAAGCTAAGCTACAGCTAAGCTAAAGCTAAGATGAAGCTAAGCTAAGCTGGGTGAACCCAGGGGGCGCGACTGGGGGAACCGCGGGGCGGGGACTGGGGGAACCGCCCGGGGCGCTTTCCACTGCCCGGCCCCTTTAAGCTAGAGAGTAAGAACCCTTCTTGGCAGAGCCTAGGTAGGGAAAAAGATGCCCAAGAGGGCCAAGGAGGCTGCAACCCTCCCAAATGCTTCAAGAGGCCTCCAAGAGGCCTCCTGAGAGACTCGAGGAGACATCTAGAATGCTCAGCCTCTCGTCCACAACCCCAGCGCAGTTGCCGGATGGGTCAACTGCGGCTTTCCTCCGCCCCAAGACGCAACCAAGACGGCCCAGAGGAAGCCAAGATGGCCCAAGAGGGCCCCATGACCGCCCACGAGGCCCCCAAGACTGACCAAAACTACACCAAGATACCCCCACGACAGGCCAGAGGGCCCTCCCTGCGGCTTCACAGCGGCAACACAAGACACCAACGACGACGCAGACTCCAGCATGCGCCCGAGAGCTTCCAAGACGGTCCAGAGAGGGTTGGCGGCAGAGTGGGAGGCGGAACACCAACTCTCCAACCATCGTCCTTCCTCCTCGTCCTCCTCTCTCCTCCTCCTCCTCCTCCTCCTCCTCCTCCTTCTCCTCCTCCTCCTCCTCCTCCTCCTTTTCTTCGTCCCCTAGTCTTGCTCTTGACTTCTCCTCCTCGTTCTCCTTCGTCCTTCGCTCAAGTGCTTCCAGGAACAGAAGGAGGAGGACGAGGAGTAGGAGGAGGAGGAGGAGGAGGAGGAGGATGAGGAGGAGGAGGAGGAGGAGGAGGAGGAGGAGGAGGAGGAGGAGGAGGAGGAATACGGAAAGGAGGCCCGGGAGCCGATCCTGCGACGCAGCAGCAGGGGCCGTTGGTTGGATGGGAGGAAGGGGGGCGTCCTGAGCATGCCAGCTAACCTCAGGGATGCGTGGGTCGGCATTCGGGGGGGGGGAACGTGCCGATTTCGGCCAGACCCAGGGCCCAGGAGGGGCCGGGCCCGACCCCTCGTGCCCCCTGCGTTCGCCCGTCCGAGCAAGGCCGGCATCGAGTTCCTTTTTCCCGAGCGCACCCCGTTCGCCGAGCGCATTCCACTACTCGCAAAGTGCCTACTCGCAGACGTCCGAAACACACCTGTCTGCCTTGATGCAAGTTATCGTCGATCCCCCGAGGGGGGATCCAGGCCATTTGCGAGGACGTCGTTACTCTGCGAGCAGTGGAGCGCGCTCGTCGACCCGTGGGCCTCTCCAAAGGCCGTTCTGACCAGCGCGTCGAGGGGAACGCAGCCGCGGCGGCGAGAAATCGAACCCCCCAGAGGCCCTCAAAGCGTGGACGACGTCTGAACGTCTGGGCTTGCGGTCTTCGAGCCTCGACCTCCCCCTCCCGCGCGCACTCCGGCACCCTCCCCTGCCCGAGCGGGCGACGCGAGCCTGGGGAGCCCCGTCTCCCTCGGAGCCCCGGAGCCGCGCGCGAGGGGATCGTCCTGGACATCGACGGCACCCTGATCGACTCGCGCTGTCGCCGCGAGCTGCACGCGGGCCTGCCCGAGCCCCTGCACGTCGACTCTGACGGCGACTGCATCTTCCCCAGGTCCTCGGGGGTTTTCATACTCTGGCTTTCGATCGCCTTTTGATGTTTTTTTTTGTTGTGGAGAGATCCAGGGTCCTCTGGGGACATCCGGGGGCCTCCAGGGACCCCTGAGGACCTCCAGGGATCCTGGAGACAGCATCTCCCCCAGGCCGCATCTCGAGGCATTCCTCGACTTCTGCTTCGAGAGGTTCGACGGGGTCGGCATCTGGACGGCGTCGAGCGCCAGGTCTGACATGCAAAATGTGGGCTCGCCCTCGAGGGCCCGAGAAGCCGGTCCCTCGCCTTCGACGGAACCCGGCAGAGAGCACGCGGAGGGCGGCACAGGGAGAACAGGGGCGGCTCCGCTGGCGGAGGTCTAGCGGAACCCTGCGGAAGTAAAGGTTGGAGGCCAAGTCACGACAGGACGAGGCTGCTTCACGACGAGGGAGACGAGGTGGGAGGCGAACAGGAGAGCGTTCGCCTTCCACTTTCCAGTTCTCACCTTCCACTTTTCGTGTTCATCTTCGCCTCCCACTGTTCCGTTCGCCTCCCACTTTCGCCTTCGCCTTCGTCTCCCACGTTCGTGTTCGCCCTCGTCTCCCACTTCCGTTTTTGCCTTCGCTTCCCACATTCGTGTTCGTGCTCCTCCCACTTTCGTGCTCCTCCCACGTTCGTAAGGTGGTCGGCGCCAGCTTTCCCGGGGTTTCTGGAGTCGGCGAGGTGGGCAGCTACCGTCGTGGAGCATGCTCTCGGGGGGCGCGCGAGGCCTTGGGCGTTCGTGTGGAGCAGCAGTCGATGCACCGGACGATACTACCACTACGGCGATGAGCTGCGGCTTGTGCAGGTGAAGCCGCTGAGAAAGCTGTGGAGGCGGGCCCGCCATCGGCAGCGGGGCTTCTGCAGAAGGAGCACGGTCATCGTGGAGGACACGCCCCTGAACTGCACCATGAACCGCGGCAACGTCGTGTGCGTCCCAGCATTCAATGTGGAGGCCGACAGGGCGTCCTCGTCCTCCCTCTCCTCCTCCTCCTCCTTCTTTCCTCCTCCGTCTCCACTCGTCTTTCTCATTTCCCTTTTCCACTTGTCATCGTTTGTATCGTCTTTTTGTTTTCTCCTCCTTCTTCTCCTGCCTCTTCTCCTTTTCCTTTTTTTCTCAGCGTCCTTTCTTGCTGCTCCTCGTCAGCGGTGGCTTGAGCACCCGGGGGCGGGTGCAAGCGAACCGCGGAGAGGTGCTCTCCGACTTTCCGCCCTGGCGGCGCCGACGGCCAGCCTGGCCGCTGGGCCTCCTCCCTGCCACCCTGCCACCTGCTCTGCCTCCGACGGCAGCGCGCGTGCCAGCTTCTCGCGCTGCGGGCCCTGGAGAGGTCAGCAAGTGCAGGGAGCCTTTGGGGGGGCAGCGTCCACCTGCTTCCAGAAGACGAACACCTGGGACATCTGCCCACTAGCGTTTTCATTTTGTAGCCACAAGCGTCTATAGATATTGGTTGTGACTGCGTGTGTGTGTTTGTGTGTATGTGTGTGTGTGTCTCTCTCTCTCTCTCTCTCTCTCTCTTTATATACACATAGGCGCATTCGGGGTGGATATGTGTATAGACAACACGGCTGTTGCGTTCGGCGCAGTACAAGGTCGGAGACATGGTAGATCCGTCTCTGATCTGTCCTTGTTCTACAGCAGGTCCCGCATGATACTCCAAGGGTGCCTCTCTTTTTCAGTTCGGCAGGCCTGTGCTTGCCCAGAGTTGCCCCTGTTGTGCGACCACGCGAAGGCACAACAGGTGGCAAGCGGATCCGCCGCCAGCTACGCCAGCGATAGGCGTTCTCGGGGCAGAGCGCAGAAGCCTCGACAAACAGCGAGGTGAGGCGGCCACCTGCCGCTTGGAGGGCGTTGCCGTGGCGCCAGACGCTGTCGCGACGAGTGCAGGGCATGCTCGCCTGCGAGCAGAGCTACGCCGAAGCACTGCGGCAGGCCGGTGGGTCACCGCGCTCGGGCGGTCTGGCCGGGAAGGACTTCGAGGCCCTCCGGGCTGTCTTCGGAAGTGTGCCCAACGCGTGCGCGGCGCTAGGCCCCTGGTTGTCGTCTAGGCACGGCGTCAGCATCGCCGCGTCCCGCAGGGCATCAGCACCGCGTGCATCGGCGACAGCAACCCCACGATGTGCGCGGCACACCAGATGGATGACTCCAGCGGCGCTGTCTCGGGCCAGCGCGTCCGACGGGCCACGGAACACGACGTGCATATCGTCTATATCGTCTTAAAGTTGATGGCCGGGTGTTCCAAGATGGCTCCCATCCTGGGCAGCCTGATGCCAGCATCTCCCGAGCTCGGCCGCGGCGAATCGACCGCCTGCCAGGGCCCATCGCAGGCAATCGCGAGAGAGCGCGCAGTGTTGCCGCGCATTCCGTATTTCGACACCCAGCTACCTAGCTGAAAAGTCAGAGGCGGTTGCAACGGCGCCCTTTTCTCGGCCATGATGCTCCTTGGGCGGATCTGATCTCTCTTTATCAGGGTCCTGCTCACGGTAGGCATCCAAGCACGCGCGCGAAGTTCTTGCTGGCCGTTCGGCGGCAGTATTTATCATGTGTCTAGCTGTGCGTCCAAGTCGAGTACCTGCGCTATCCAACATGCGGACATAGGCGTGCCCCTCGGGAGTTCGTCGAATCCTGAGACCAGCTTCAGGGAACGTTCGCCAGTCTCGACAGCGTCGTCGACGACGTGGGCGCCCCGCTGAATTGGCTTACGGCGCCTACGCAGTGGTTGCCGCGCGCACTGCGTGCTTCCCTGCCGCGGTCCTTCCTGCACAAGGTCTTCAACCGGCGCAATGGCATGGCGACCCTGGGGAGGCTCAAGCAGGGCTTCGACACGTGCCCCACCACCTTGCTGGCATGGCGCCCGCGCGAGGCACGCGAAGTGGTGCGAGGTGTTCCTCATCGGCTTTTGGGTCGCCGCACTCAGCGTCGGCTTCCTTGGGCGGAGTTCACGGCTGACCCTTCTTCGCTGCGCCGATTTTGTGACGAGGTGGGAGAGACGCAGGAACACAGAGACGCAGGAACGCACGTCGCGCCTGTGTTTCTCCCTTGCGAGCGGTCAACCGTGGCCCCTGGCTGGGGGAGCTACGCTCGCTGCAGGCCTGCCTCTGCGGCTGCCGCGGCTGCTCCCATAAGCGGTGGACAACCGCGGCGACGAGCGCGGTTATTCGGAGGGCGCAGCCCCTGGAGCCGCAGTGCTGGCTTCACGCATCCACTGACAGCGCCAGCGCCAGGCCATGTCATCCTCTGCCTGCTCGAGCAGGTTTCGAGACGCCCTGTGCACCTGGTCGCCGCAACCGAGCTCGAGCAGCTCGGGCACCCCGAGGGCGTCTCTCTTCATCCACATGACCTGGCCGACGACCCCTCTGAGGCGAGCGCTGGCTCTGGCGAGCGTCAGGAGGGAACAAAAACACACACAGACACAATTAATCGTCGATCCCCCAGAAAATATGGGAAAATATGGGAAGTGGGGGGAAGACAAAAGCCCGGAAAATATGGGGAAATATGGGGAATATTTTTATTTGTGTGTATTTATTTGTGTGTCCTGGGGCCCCTTCATGGAACTGCGCCGGTCTGGCCGAGATGCCCATCGCGCAGGCCGGGCGAGCTCTTCGAAGCCCCCGCCGGCTCGGCCTCCGCGCGCCCTGCGGCGGCCTGCTGCGGCCCAGGGCAGGCGAGGCGTGCGGCGCGCAGGGCGGCCCCTGCGGCGCCGGCCCCTCCCGCTGCCGGAGGAGGCGCGGGAGGCCGTCGCGCGTGCTCGCGGCCCCGCCGCCGCGGCGCCCCTGGGCCGTGCTAGGGGGCCACATGCGAACCCTACCCCTACCCCCCACGATTTCTGAGGGGGAGGGTGGGGTTCACTTCGTTCGGGAGCTCCCGAGCGAAGCGAACCCCACCCTCCCCCTCAGAAATCGTGGGGGGTAGGGGTAGGGTTCGCATGTGGCCCCCTACGTGCGCTCGGCCCCCCGGCGGTGCGCCGACGCGCCGCGCGCGCCGCGATCGCTCCCCCTGCTGGATGGGCGCGGAGCCTGGCGCCACCGTGCCCGCTGACCGCGCCGGCCGCCCGACGGCGCGGCCCGCAGGTCGGGCGACCCGTCGCGCCGTGCCCCTCTCTGCTGCGGGGGGGCGATGCCGCGCCACTCTGGCACCAGATCCTGTCGGCGCGCGCGCGCTCTCGTCCAGCGTGGGGCCCGCTTGCCGGCCGCGGGGAGCAGTGCGAAGGCTGGTGCCAGTCCTAGCCGCCCTAGTTGCTTCTGGGAGCGGTGTGCACAGGCATTCGGCGTTTTTTCTAGGTTCATTGAGGCCTAGACACCTCGCTAATCATCCCCAATGTCTAACGTTTCTCCTTCTGCTTCTCCTTCGCCTTCTCTTTCTCCTTATCCCTTTGTTTTCTGCCCTTGCTCATTCTCCTGCTCCGCCGCATCCGCGACCAGAGATCTCCATAGGTCCCCAGAGACCACCAGAGGTCTTCGACGGGGCCCCCATGACGCTCCATGTGAGGTCCCATGTGAGACCACTGGACGCCCCCTATGCGGCTGCAGGAGGTAGACGTTAGCTAGCGTGGGCACCAAGCAGTAAGTCATTGCACTGTGGACGTGTAAGTTATGTGGTGCACGGTATGTGGTGTAAGCTATGTGGTGCAGTATATGCGTGCAAGTCGAGCCCGTAACAAGGCGACAACAAGGCTGCAACGTGGCGAGACCTCGCCAGGCCCAGCCAGCGCACGAGGCGGCAACGAGGCGGCAGCGTGGCGGAGTCCTCGCCGGATCCAGCCCCAATTCCTGGGGGAGAGGAGAGTCCCCAAGTGCAGGCACTGCCGGGGGAAAAGAGGAGGCCCCCACCGCCCCCGTCGTTCCTTCCAGGAAGACGCCCCCGCGGCCCCCCCCCCCTCCCGGGCCTCCTCCCTCCTGCCTCCGAGGCGGGCGGGAGGAGGCTGGCGGGGCAGGCGCAGAGCAGGGCGGCGCAGGTGAGGTCCTGGCCACCGCAGAGCAGGCGCCCGCCCGCGCGACCTGACCGGCCCCTCCCGTCTGCACAGCGGCGTTTTCACCCTGTGGTTTAAGTCGGGCGCGTCCCTCTACAGGGGGGGATATTCAAAAATGGTAAAAAACAGTCGGGTGACTATTTTTAAACATTTTTTTGGATCATGTTTAGAGGTTTTTTGTGACTACTTTTCATTTTTCGCTCCAAATCCACCTGTAGGGGGACATGCCCGACCGAAGCTTTGATGATATCATCGGGGGTGGACAGAACCCCCACCCTGACACGTCGATGTGTGAATTGTCCGTTTTCGGTTCCCGAGAGGGCGCCGCGGCCGTCATTTTCCAGGCCTGCGCCCGCCTGGTTTGGGCCCGAGGTCGTTTTCACCGAACCACGCTTTGCTAAAGGGGCTCTGCCCATCCCCGAGGTGAGCAGGCAGCCGCGATCGTCGGTCAAAGTGGGGCTGCAGATCTCGGTCTCTTATCGGGCCGGACGAAAGGGGGGGGTTGGGAAAGGGGGGGTTACGAAATTTGCTGCATGCAGCTGGTTTCGGCCCCACGGAGGGGCCCATTCCTCGATACATAGCCGCCTCCGGCGCGTGAGCTGATTCTCACCCCCCCCCTTTGCTATCCCCCCCTTACGCCCGACCCGATCTTAGCTGCCACCCTCCTCCGAGGCTGGCGCGGACGACGCCCTCTGGCGGGCCATGCAGCTCCTTGCCGAGGCGGTGCTCCCGGCCGCGGACGTGCGGAGAGCGCTCGCCGCTCACCAGGGCGAGGGCTGGCTCCGGCCTGGAGGTGCGCCGCCCTCCTCGGGAGGTCCCCCGTCGCACCCGCCGGCCCAGGATTACCCGCCTCGAACGTGTCCCTATCCCTAAGATTGACACGCCAAAAGGCGACGACAATCTTAGGGATTCGCCCTCAAAAAATAAGGGAATCCCTAAGATTGGCATCGTGATGGGGAGGTGCCCGACATAGGGATAGGGGTATGTTCCAGGCTGGTAACAGGACCCCTTGGGGAAACGGGGGGGGGGGGTTGGACTTCGGGAGGGAGGGTCCAAGATGGCCTCCAGGGAGCCCACGGAGTGCCCGTGCTCGGCCGAGATGGCACCAGATGGGGCCCCAGGAGTGCCCAGGACGGCACGTTTGTACCACTCTCCCCTCCTTCCCCCCGATGCTGTGTTGACTTGCCTCCGTCTCTGCCGCATCTGCATTCTGCACGCTCTTTCAGCGTGTGGACTTTCCTTTGTCTTCTTTTCGAGCGGAACGTTCCCAGCCCGCCAACAGCTGCGCTCCCGCTGCAGCGTCGGCCACATTTCGGGGTCGGTGTGTTGGCCCCGTCGCCCAGAACTGCGCTCTCGCCCCAGCGCGGGCCACACTTCTATATATCCCATTCTTTCCTCGGCGTTGCCGTCCCCCCCTCCGCCGCCCCCCTTCGTTCCCCTCCTCCGTCTTTCCCTGAGCTTCCTGCTCCTCCTGCTACTCCTGCTCCTCATGCTCCTCTCCTCCACCTGCTCCGCCTCCGCCTCTCTCCTCCTCGCCCTCCTCCTCCTCCTCCTCCTCCTCCTCCTCCTCGTCCTCCTCCTTCTCCTCCTGCTCCGCCATGCAGGTCCCTCCTTCCCGATGTCACAAAAACGGCAGAACACATCCTGCAACTGCCAGTTGGGGATCGGGGTCCTCTAGGACACCCCCGTCGGCGAATAGAAACGGACCCAACGCAATGGGATGGGATGGGTGGGAGAGGTCGGATATCAGATGTGGAGCGAGCGCACCTATCTTGACTCCACCCTCCCCGCCCATCTTAGAGACGATATGGCCTAGAAGAGAGTGGAGGAGAGAGGAGTGAGGATGGGGGAGCTGGGGAGGAGAGGATGATGCTGATGGGGGGATGTGGAGTGGGGTGGACCAGGCTGGCGAGCGCGACGGGGGCCTCCCACCTCTGAAGACTCCTCCTGTGCTGCCGGGGAGCCGTGCGGCGCCTGCGCGGGGACGGGGCTGCTGCTGCAGGGCCCGTGCCCGCTGTGCCGGTGACCGCCGCGCAGGCGCTCGGTCGCCGCGCCCGGTCGCTGCGGGGTGGCCGTGTCGGAGAGGGGCCCTTCGCTGCTGGTGCCTGCGGCGGCAGCGCAGCCTCAACGCGGATCACCCTGGGCCTTCGCCGAGCGGGGGCATGCCTCTGCCTCCCACGACGGCGCGCGCGCGCGCCCACTGTCGTTGAGGTTGGGGGGTCTCGCAGGAGTGCGAGCGCAGAGCACCGTCATCGCGAGCCTTTCGCTCCGAGCTTCTGCTCGCGAGGAGCATATGGAGGGGCCAGTGTGGCTTTCCTCCCGCTCCCGCTGCTGCTGCTGCTCCTCCTTCCCCACCTCCCCCCGCCCTCCTCCTCCCCTTCCCCTTCGTTCCTCCCCCCCGTGATCCTCCGACCCGCCTCCTGCTGCCGTCCCTCGTCCCCCGACTCGATCGGGAACCGTCCTGCGCCGGCGCGGGCCCCAATCCTGGCCCCCGCGACTGCCTTCTTGAGACGCTGCTCGCCGCCAGAGGTCTCTGGAGGTCTGGGGGTGTCCGGGGTCCTCCGCGGGACTTCCGGAGGTCCTCTGGAGGCCTCCGGAGGCTTCCCGAGGTCCCCCGGAGGCAGAGGCCTCGGAGAGGCTTCCAGAGGCCCTGAGGCCCAAGACAGGGCCAAACACGGCCAAAAGCTTGCGATCTCAACCGCCCTCTGCCTCGAGCGGGGCTCGAGAGACCGGACGGGGCGCTTCTCCTCCTCCCTCCTGCTGCTCCTCGTCCTCGTCCTCCCTTCTCTTTTTCTCCCTCCCTCCTCTTCCTAGTCCTCGTCTTCGTCCTCGTCATCGTCCTCCTCTTGTGCTCCCTCCTCCTCGTCCTCCTCCTCTTCCCCCTTCCCCCTCCTGCTCCTCCTCGTCCTCCCCCGGGAGAGCGTTTTTTATTTCCGTCGATGACGGGCGTTACTGGGGGGGAGGGGAGGGGGGGGCATGGAGCAGGTGAGGTCACGTTTCGCGCCAGCGCAGTCTGGGAACGTCTAGGAATAACCCAACACCAGCTCGGAGGTCCCCATGAGTCGTGATGTTGCTTGGGGATGTGGGGGGGGAGGAGGGCGGCCAGGGCCCGGAACTGCTGCCATCGGGACAAAACTGCAAAACCGTCCTCCTCCTCCTCCTCCTCCTCCTCCTCCTCCTCCTCCCTCTCCTCCTTGTCCCCCCCCCCCCGCGCAATCATTCCCCTCCTCCAGCTCTGCCCATGCTGCCCTGGCTGCCCTTCGGGGCTAGGGGTTCCTATCTGCAGATGCCGGCGGCGGCCCGCCTACCCGTCGAAGGAGGATGTCGGGGGTGTCTTGAAGCGCAATGCAGTGCTCAGTCTTTGATGCTTTTCGATGACCGTACGTACGGTAGAGGGAAACGATTAGTGAACACCCCCCCTGCCCCCCAAACTCAAAGTTGGCACGCGCGGGGGAGACTGCGGTCGAGGTGCAACTCATCAGACCCACCGCCAACTTTGAACATTGGGGGGGGCGGGAGGCGTTCACCGATGAATGTGGCATGAGTGTTCGCTATTTTTTCCGAGGCCTGTATGGATCGTTGCTTGAAGGTGGTCGTGGTCAGAAGCTGGAGCATAGACATGACCAGAGGCGGGCTGGTTCTCCATCCCAGGACTTTCTGCGGGTCTGGGACGACGTCGGGGTGGTGTGGTCTGCACTTGTTTTATCCGCTTCCTTGGGAAACAACGACAAATGTAGACACCAGGATCCCTTCTACACCATGTTCCGCTTTCCTGTTTGCAAGTTTGAGTGCAGGGCCGGAAAACGCGTCGGTGTACAGAGTTCGGTTCCCTACGTGGACCGACGCTGGGATCTAATAGTCTGTGCAGAGACGTGGAGAGCACGACCGCGCGAAGCATGGGAGCTCGAGTAAGGCTACATTGGTTCGGCAGCCGGGGGGGCGACACACGAAGCTGGTTTTGGATTTGGCAGAGGGAAACAATTAGTGGACACTTTTCCGCCCCCCAAAACTCAAAGTTGGCACGTGCGGGGAAGACTGCAGTCGGAGTGCAACTCATCCAACCCACCGCCAATATTGATCATTGGGGGGGGCACATTGGCACACGAGCGTGGCATGAGTGTTCGCTACTCTCTTCCGAGGCCTGTTCTTCTTGCACAGACGCGGGGAGCCATACTTGCTGCAACCCTCTATCGGACAGGATGGCAACTTTGGATTTTCGCATCTGGGTGTTCGGCATGATCAGGGTCGCTGGCGTCCACACTCTCGCGCAGAGCAGCCCGAATAGGAGCTGGAGGCAGTGTATGCCCCCAGTTGGAGTCAAAATGTCGGGACGTACAGAGTAAAGGCTTCCGTATGATAGTGGATGGGGGTTTCGGGTCGGAGGCGGGGCCGCACGCAGAGAACGACGACGACGAGACCGATGGTCAAAACCCAGTACTGCACAGAAGCGACCAGGGCAAGACACTGGTCCATTGGACCGCCCTTCACGATTACGCCATTGCCAGTGTTCTTCTCGCCAATACCTCGGAGGACATTTGGACGTTTTGGGGATCGGAGAAGCTGGGAATGCGTACTGCTGGGGAAGAGAACCTATTCCATACGTGTCCTCATGCACTGTACCTGCAATCATCCACATTTGATCATATCGCCGACTTCTTTGTCCAGATGCAGCTCCCAGCGCGTGCCTGGAAGAGGCGTTACCCCTTGGCCGCGCCATCACCCACGTAGTCGCAGTTACAGTTATCCGTGCATTGCTCTATTGCAGGATTGGCAACGGAGCGTTGATTGGACCAACGCTGCGCCGCATGAGCGAGCCTTCGCACTGAATGAAACTATGTTTTGGGCGGCTAGAAAAAGACAAGGAGCGAGGCCGACACAACTGCCTTGAACCACCCACGACAGATCTGGACAAACACATCCATTCCTTGATGGGTGAACGCCGCCGCTTGCAATAATCCGCCCTGCTGGCACCAATCTAAAAAGTCATCCGAAAGGATTGGGGCAAGCAGATGCAGATGTTGGTTCGCAAGAGGTGAGCAACGTCCGCCATGCACAAGATAGAGACCACCTGGGCTCACTTCAAGGGCGTGAAGAACTGCTGACACATGCAAAACAATCGCAAGACAGACCACACCATCGATAAGAGAGTCGCCGACGGCACGATTCACAGGGATCGTCCCGACATTGTTGAAGTTGTTGACGA